ACTGGAAGCCTTTCATGAATTGTCACAAGCGGTTTTTCTATAGAAATTGGGATTAACAGAATATTTTGTTCGGGGAAAATCGAAATTAATCTCAATTTTCCATTAGCATTGAATAGCAAGGCATTGTAAAACAGAAAGCATTTGATTATGCAAAAAGTAAATAATACTGTCACATACAGTACAAATTGGGATTAACAAAATATTTTGTGTCACTGGAAGCCTTTCATGAATTGTCACAAACGGTTTTTCTATAGAAATTGAGATTTAAAGAGTATTTCGTGTTAGTGGAAGCCTTCCATTGAATTACATAAATTTGCAATTGTGTCAGAAATAGAAGCATCCAAAAATAAGCTGGACCATCGATTGCCATCATTTTCCATTCAGGGAAAGATGTAGAATTTACATCATTTTCTGTTATTTGTGCCTTTTGTATTTTAATATAAAATGCAATCCTACAAGTCTTTCGAACTGTCAGGACGATGAATCGAAATTTTTTTCCGGAACTGAAAAAAGACTATCGGTATTCTACTAAGAATTCAAAAGGAATGCTTTTTTAGAAAATGTATGATAATGAAGAGTTAGTAACCTGCGATAAACAGATGCTATCCAACTTTTCAGGAAATCAGAAAAACCGAAATTAATGTCTGTTTTCTATTTTGCATTGAACAACATGCATTGCGAAACGGAGAATATTTCACACAGATTATGTAAAAAAAATACTTAAATATCAAAATTTTCAGAATAGCTTTCTCTTCTTTCACTTCATCATTGATGTTTTATTCCTTTTCCCCTCACTCCTCTTTTATAAATCTTTCAATTTAATTTAATTTATCGAACGAAATTTGAGGGAAGGTGAAAATTTTTTGGTGTTGATTAAAGTAAAAAAACACTTTATCCATCTGCCAATATTAAAAATGTCCGAAATTTCTTGCGAATTTTACTCCTTTTTTTTTTTTGAACAAAATTAATCTTTGATTTATACAAGATGATCAATGGCATGTTTTTGCAATTGAGATATTAGTCTAGTTCACTTCCTTCTTAAACTTCGCTTTTTTTCCCTTGTTTTTTGAATTTATTAAATTCCGGACGACTTTTTCTGAAGTTTTAAAGTCGAAAAATACTGGTCAATCAAAATGATTATTCATTACTATGGTACGAACTCTACCGAAGCTACCAATGTGATTCCGGCATATTTCATCTTAAAATGTCATCTCTTTGTTGATACCAATAAATTGTCCATATTTTATTGTAACATTAAATCTATAATATTATTTAAATTGGCAGTAGCAATTATTTGATTGTTAAATTGACAGTAGCATTTACACGGTTAAATTGACAGTAACATTTCGACAATACAGTCAAATTAGATGAGACAAATTGAAGTAATTTCAAAGTAATTATTCAATAATTAAATTGTCAATTCATATTAAATTGCTGTTAGCTTTATTCAATATAATCCTCAATAACGACAGTCTTCTCAGGGACAAGAACGAAATTATGAAGAATATCTTCTACCTCTGGCAAAAATTTCTTGTATTCGCAATCTTTTCAACATGGTTTTGTAAGATAGATATATTGTATACCACCACCATAACAAATTATATTACATTTGCGTCCAAGATATTTTAAACATCCTAATTTATAACAATGCTTAATTTCCGGTATACAACGCATCCGTTTCTTTTCCTTTTTCCGATTTCTTACTCTTACCGTACGCCAGAATTTTTCTTCACAAATACGTGTCGCACGAAAAAAACAATCATCATTCCAACAGTGTAAATCATTTGATAATTTCCCGGCAATTGTTAAACATTTCATTTCACAATGTTCCATAAATGCAATTATTTACTGCCATTGGACATTGCTGACCATCATCAGATGGTGAAGTTTCTTCTACACCTCGTATCGTTGGTGCTACATTTTCTACCGTTGTATTTGTTGTTGCTGTTATTATTCCTATTTTCACTGTTGTTTCCGGTATTATCTGTATAAATTATATCATTATCAATTATATCAACTAATATAAATTATGTCAATTACAAATCATTTCTGTTGAATTACTATTAATAAATAATTTTCATATGATAATAATTTTGGCAAGTTTAATTGGTCTTTTCATTTATTTGCACCTACCTTAGATACTTATTAATTTGTTAGCGATTGTTCGTCGAAGAAATTTTAGTTTCAAAAATTTCTGGAGTTTGCAAATTCTGCTAAGTTTGATACTTTGATCATCTTTTTTTGATAAAAGATTATATTAATGTAAGAAGTTGTTTTTAGATTCTTTAATTTTTGAAATTTAAAATATTAACCTTATTTTGAACTCTCATTATTGTTGTATTCATTGCAAGCAATTCAGCTGCAGCAAAATGACTTGTTGGTTAAATGTAATGCAATGAACAGTGAGTTATCAATTGAAATGAGGAAACAAAAGAATGATATAGAAATACAATCAATCAAAAATTGAAATTCGGTTGATAAATCGATATCATGATGTATCTTGTTTAGATATTACATGGTCAGTCGTAATTATGTAGTATCATAGATAATATAACAGTTGATAACAGTATGAGAGATTGAAGCAAATTTAGGAAAATTATTTATGAATCTTTTGAAAAAAAATATTGAATTATATGCTTTAGCAAATCTTTCTTTCCGCAAACATGCTCCGCTTAACTTGAAGCGATATCTCTCGATCTACCATCATTTTAAATTCCCTTTATCATACGTTCATTTCAAGTAAAGAAAATTTCAAAAACGAAATCTGCTCGATAGAATTTTTGAGTCGTTTTGATTCTGAAATGTTCCACCTGAAATGAATTATGTAGTTCCACCTGAAATGAATTATGTACTTGTGAACTGGCTAAGAATAGATGGCTGTCCTCATCACTACATCATCTCGCAAGTAGGATTAATTATGTAATTACTATCATCATTTTCTCATGTAATTCCAAAAACCACATTTGAGATCGCAAGGAAATAATTGCAATCACTTTCCCTCTTTTCTTACTAGCTCTCATTTTCATGATCTAATAATTCAAAAATTTTTAAAAACTTCAAAACATTATCTGGTTTCAAATTCGAAGATTCATTCAACAATTTAGAAGGCTTGTTGGAAGATAATGATTGTACAAATTCGTACAGATAGCATATTTCACCGATTCTAAATCTCACTTTAAGTTTGAAAAAAAAAGTAATGGTAAATCGAATTCGCCCTTTCTGAAAATATTTATAAAACATTTTTGTTTTTATCGCACATTAACAACCTTGCTTCATTGCTACTGAAATAATTGCTTGATGTATAAAATTTATGTTCAGAATTAAGTGTCAACAACTTATACAAATAACATCAAGAATTAGACAATCACAATTTAACTGATAATTCAATCACACTTCACTGATCAGGTAGAAAATTTAAGAAATTGGATTGTGCAAATGATTAAATTAATTAGTCGTGACTAGTTAGTCATCACTCGATTTTTAATCTGTACACTAACAATTTTTTGTCGTACGGTCCATTAGAATTAACTGCAAACGATTTTTGGCGTATCGTACATCAAGAATAAATTATAACGATCATAATGTTATGGAAGACAACTAAAGACGGTAAATCGAAGTGTTTTCAATACTTTTCTGAAGGAAATTGTAAAAATAAAACTTACGGATGAATGCTTGTCATAAATAAGTGGGATATCCACATATCCTTCTACATTACATCTTTTACAAATGCTAATATCTATCATGCTAGTTGATACTGTACCAATAATATAATTCAGAAATTAATTATATAGTCGTATTAGATGAACAATTATGCCATTGCTTATTGTTGCCGGCTTGAAAAATCTTCCTCATCTTTGCAATTGCTGTCAAGCGCAAGAATGACAGATAAATAGTTAATTAGGACGAAGACAATTAGAAACAAATGTGCAATTTAGTTGTGCATTTCTTCCCAATTTGTTTCATTTTTGATTTATTC